AAGAGTAACCCAAAATTAAATAAAGTTATAAAACGTCACTTTTAATATATTTAAAATATTAGGAACATTTGGTATCTGTGATAGGAAAACACCCTATTACAATAATTTTTATATTTATTATTTTTTGATTCAGAGCAATTTGAACATTTGCATTTTTCATTTTTTTGAACCATGATCTGATAAGGGTGTTTTCCTATCACAGATACCAAATGTTCCTAATATTTTAAATAATTATATTAAAAGTGATGTTTTATAACTTTGTAAACAGTTCCCCGTTGTGTTTTGTTCTTATTATAATAAATTGGATAATTTACTGTTCATGCTGCTTACTGCTAGTTGCTATGTTTTTAAGACGGAATCTACAGGATTTGGCAACATACTGGATGTTGGGCTCAAAGATTAGGCCAGAATCAAGTATGACGCCTAGACAGCGTGCTTGCAAGGATGGACTTATATGGATACCACTAACTTGAAGGGAGAGCGAAAGAGGAGGATCAGTATTAGGAGGAGGAAAGACAAGGAGCTCAGTTTTAGAGAGACTGAGTTTCAGAAAGCGGGAGGACATCCAGTCAGAGATGGAAGAAAGGCAAGCAGTGACACGTTGCAGGAAGGCAGGGGTGAGGTCTGAGGAGGAGAGATATATCTGGGTGTTGTCAGCGTACAGGTGGTAGTGGAACCCAATTGAGGTAATACGTTTGCAAAGAGAGGCAGTATAAAGAGAAAATAGAAGGGGACCAAGGACAGAGCCTTGGGGGACATCCACAGAGACAGGACGAGGGGAGGAGGTATCATTAGAAAAGGAGACGCTGAAAGAGCATTGGGAGAGAAGAGGAAAACCACGAGAGGACAGTCACAGAGAAGGAGTGATTGAAGAGTTTGAAGGAGTGCATGATCAACGGTGTCAAAGGCAGCAAAGAGGTCAAGAAGATTTAGTATGGAGTAGTGGCCTTTGGGTTTAGCTGCAATTAGGTCGTTAAGAGTAGTCTCAGTAGAGTGGAGATGGCAGAAGCCAGATTGAAGAGGGACAAGAAGAGAGAGTTGGAATTGAGGAAGTGAAACATATGGGTAAAGACAAGTCTTTCCAGAAGCTTTGAGGAAAATGGGAGCAGGGATATGGGACGATATAGTTAGAGGGGGAGGACAGGTCGAGAAATGTTTTTTCAGGATAGGTACTACAGTGGCATGTTGAAGGTCAGCAGGGACAACACCACAAGAGAGAGCAGTTGAAGAGGTTTGTTAAAAGACCCCTATAGTGCCAGGAAAACAAACTTGTTTTTCTGGCACCATAGGGTCTTTAGGTTGCCCCCACCCTCAGGGTCCCACTCCCGCTGGGCTGAAGGGGTTAAACACTTACCTTTCTCCAGCGCCAGGCTACCTCTGCGCTGGGGAACTCGCCTCCTGCGCCGAATGCGCATCAAAAGCCGCACGCGCATTTAAACAGTCCATAGGAAAGTGTTTCTCAATGCTTTCCTATGGACATCAGCGTCTTCTTACTGATTTTCACAGTGAGAAGCGCCTCTAGCGGCTGTCAGTGAGACTGCTTTGTTTACAGCTGCAGGGTTAACATTAGATGGACCTGGCACCCAGACCACTTCGTTGAGCTGAAGTGGTCTGGGTGCCTATAGTGGTGCTTTAAGGAAGGCGCAAGACAAGGGGAGAGAGATCTATTAAGGTGAGATGGGGCAGGATCGAGCAGGCAAGTGGTGGGACGAGAGGAAAGGAGAAGCGCAGCCACCTCTTGTTCAGTACCCGGGGAGAAAGTCTGAAGGGTAGGAAAGGCATGATCTATGTGTGGTTAAGAAAGAGAACAGCAAGGTGGGGAGAATTCTTTCCTTAGCTGTTCAATCTCGTCGGTAAAGTAGCATGCAAAGCTATTGGCAGTAAGGTTAGTTTGGGGGGTGGGGGGGGGCCCACAGCAGGGCGAAGAAGAGAGTTAAAGGTGTCAAAGAGATGCTTTAACTACATCCCAGAGCAACATTTATTTAGTTAGAGCTTGTGCATATTAGGGAGTATTTAGAGTTTAGATTTGTTTCTTTCCTCTTTTAATTTAGTATTTGTCATCAGAAAACCCCCACGCCCCAAAAATAAAAAAAAAACATTACACTTTAATCGTACAACTACAGTTAAAAAAAATACAAATGTGTGGTCTTACCGCCGAAACAGTTGATAAGTCTTGAATCTTTGTGTCATTATGTCATCTAACAAATTAATAAATTTCTTGAGGTTCTTAACTTTACTTTCTACATCTTGGTAATTTTCTTTTGCAGCATGGTATTGCCTTTAAAAAAGAATGACAGAATTACTATAATTACATTTGCAACATAAAAAAGGATCCCTCAATGACACGGAGATCAACAATAAGTAATATGGTAAAAAGAAAAAAAGAAAATAAGTAAACCTCAAAGTAAAAAAAATAAAATCCAGAATCTGAACAAAGAAAAAGTCTTGTTGAAAACAATATCTGCAATATAGAGACAATACATCAAGCCAATGACCTGCAGAACAACATACAGCATATGGTTTGTGTTCTACATCTGACTCAAGTTTGAAATGGAATGAAAGAAAACTAGAAGAGAAAGAGTGTTACAAATTACAAAGCAGAACTGAACGAGTGTTAAATCTCATACAATAAGAGTGGTCACTGGCCCCTGGTATGCTAGGGAATCCCCAATCTTCTACTGCTAAAATAAAAAAAACTGCTTAGTAGATATACCCCAACTGAAAACATGCCTGCCCACACCCTCAAGGTCCCCCTCCTGTGGCGCTACTCACCCTTTCCCCCGCCGGGCTCCCTTACCTCTCCTCCCCCGCCGACGTCAGCATCCTTGTCTGACGTCACCGGCACCGAATGCGCATTTTGAGAGTGTATGGCAGCCCAGGAATGAGAATTACCCCCACGATGGCATACCATTTGCAAAAGAAGACAACCCAAGGTATTGCAAATGGGGTATGTGCAGTATTTTTTAGTAGCCACTTACTCACAAACAGTTGCCAAACTTAGCATTCAATTTAGTTTACTTTTTTCACACACAAATATGAACGCTAACTTTAGCCAGTGATTGTGACTAAGTGGCTACTAAAAAAGACTGGACATACCCCATTTTGAATACCCTGGGTTGTCTACTTTAAAAACATATGTACATGTGGGGTGTGACAAAATTTTGAATTTATTTAGCAGTTTTGTCATTAGCTTTCGTATGTAAGTAAAAGATTTTTCAAGCAAAAGTCAAAAAAACATTTTTGAAAAAATATTTTCACCATATTTTATAATTCTTTTTTAAGTAAATTATAGGACATGATACAAATAATGGTATGTAAAGAAAGCCCTTTCTGTCCTGAAAAAAACCCCAATATATAATTTGTATTGGAACAGTAAATAAAAGAGGAAAATTACAGCTAAACACAAACACCACAAAAGTGTTAAAAGAGCCCTGGTCCTTAACGTACAACATGGCCAAAACAGGCCTGTCCTGAAGGGGTTAAACATAGTGCCAATTTCTACTGAAATCTCCAGTTTTTGTAAAAAGAAAGAACAAAGAGTACACTGTTCATAAAGCACTTTAGTAGGGATCGACCGATTATCGGTTTTACTGATATTATCGGCCGATATTTGGTATTTTTGGCAATATCGGCATCGGCCAATAGAGATACCGATATTGCCGATAATACCTCCTAGGATCGCCGGGCTCATGATAAGCCGGCGGTCCTGGGGGGGCCCGCAGGAAGCTGTTATCTCCCAGCAGCTCCCCAGTGTAAATCTTGCGAGTGTTACACAGGGGAGCTGCTGGGAGGTGAGTAACAGCTTCCTGCGGGCCCCCACAACTCCGTACATGCTACTGGACCACCAGGGATTGACATAGCCCCCCTCCATGGCCAGGCAACAAGCAGGGAGGGGGGACATTAATAAATAAATAAATATCCTCCTCCCCAATTTTACACAAATCACATGCCTTCAGAAACACACACACACACACACACTCTGCATCACTATACACACACTACACAAACAAACCCGGCATTCATTACATACACACTACACAAATACAAAGTGCACCCACTACACAATCACACACAGCTCCCTTGTCTAAACACACTGCATCCACTACATGTGGCATGTATATTTTGTGCATTTACCTTCAGAAATACCTTATTTTTTAAAATGGTAAATGTACAGAATATCGGCTATTGGACTAAAAATTCACAGATTTTTTGACTTTAGCAAAGTGACTATAGTCACCAGAACAACTACAGCTTAAAGGAACACTATAGTCACCTAAATTACTTTAGCTAAATAAAGCAGTTTTAGTGTATAGATCATTCCCCTGCAATTTCACTGCTCAATTCACTGGCATTTAGGAGTTAAATCACTCTGTTTCTGCAGTCCTAACCACACCTCCCCTGGCTATGATTGACAGAGCCTGCATAAAAATAAAACTAGTTTCATTTTCAAACAGATGTAATTTACCTTAAATAATTGTATCTCAATCTCTAAATTGAACTTTAATCACATACAGGAGGCTCTTGCAGGATCTAGCAAGCTATTAACATAGCAGGGGATAAGAAAATCTTAATTAAACAGAACTTGCAATAAAGAAAGCCTAAATAGGGCTCTCTTTACAGGAAGTGTTTATGGAAGGCTGTGCAAGTCACATGCAGGGAGGTGTGACTAGGGTTCATAAACAAAGGGATTTAACTCCTAAATGGCAGAGGATTGAGCAGTGAGGCTGCAGGGGCATGTTCTATACACCAAAACTGCTTCATTAAGCTAAAGTTGTTCAGGTGACTATAGTGTGCCTTTAATGGGAAAGCATTGGATTGGCAAAAAATAAATAAAAAAATCAGCCATTGCGGATATGCCAGGGCTGGAAATAAAGTGAGTTTAAACTTTCATAGGGGGAAGCCACCTAAATAGTGGGTTTAGCACTACAAGGTGAGGAATACAGGTTTGTGTTACTGACCCTATAGTAATCCTTTAAAGCAGGGGTCCTCAAACTCCAGCCCCCCAGATGTTGCTGAACTACAACTCCCATGATTCTTTGAATTACATAGATAGAGAATCATGGGAGTTGTAGTTCAGCAACATCTGGGGGGCTGGAGTTTGAGGACCCCTGTTTTAAAGGGTCTGGAGTGTCCCTTATGTGCATTTGATACTTTTTCTCATCATTACATTTTACATAGTTTCGAGAAATTTGTAACATAAGTACTCTCACGTATTACTTTAGCCCTAAAAGAATGTATAACACATATGAAGCAATGAATGACATACCGCAGATATAGCCCTGTATAGAAACATCTTCTTCATAACTATCATTTACACACAGACACACACACAAAAAAAAAATACTAAAGCATAAATGCAATTCCAGATGGTAAAAGACTGCCCCTATTGTAAAGGAGACTGAACCAAACTGAATAATGCAATAAAAAATGTTTATTTTTAAGTAATAAGTTGAGCTTGGACAACATTAGAAGAATTAGAAGAAAATAAAAATGGAGAGAAAAATAACAAACATCTATTTTGCAATTTTGATGGAAGAATAAATAAATAAATAAATATATATATATACACACACACACACACACATATATAATTGAACAGTACTTAAATGGCTTCATAGAATGCTCTTGTAAAAGAAAACATGTGAAAGTTGCACTGGCAGTTTAACCAGCAGCAAAGGAATGAAATTAAATTGAGCTAGATATAGAGGGAATGGTTTTTGGGAGGCTGTAACTCATCACAAGAAGGTAGAGATGAACTTGTTCTAATCCATTATTCACTTGCTTTACTGTGCAGACAAAACACATGTACATCATGTACAAAACAGAGGATGCTTTGCCGCAGTATTAAAGTTCGAATCTAATGACACAGACATTAAATGTGCACTGTGTATATAATGTTAGAGTTCTACAGTGACTATTTGGGATTAAGCACTACAAATATCAAGCACAAACTACAGAACGATCACTTCATAAAAAAATACTCAGCAGTTTTGCTTGTTTTTCTATAAAAACAAACAAACATGCAGTTGATTCAGGGAATAATTTAAAAGGCCATGCCCATGCAAAATACTTTCATACCTTCAAGGCATCCCTATTTCAAAGTATCAATGTCCTGGTATCTCTCTTTGGTAAGAGGTCAATGGGGTGTAGCACGCTGTTCAAAGTAAAGAGTGCAAGTGCACTAACCAGCACTTCCAAAAAGTATAGTCCTCCGTTACTTAAGATTATGAAGTTCTTTATTGTACTATAAATATATATACATAAAATGTGATTTATATGCAACATTATAGATTCTTGTTGATGGAACCAGAACTTTGTGTTAATAACGGGTGGGCCAGCTCTTTGCTAAAAGCACTGTTTTGCTTTAATCCCTTTTAATCTTTGCATAAAAAAAAAAATATATATATATTTTGAAAATATCCTTTTTATGAATGTTTTTTTTTATTATGGCATATTTCTTGCCATTTTATTAATAATTTATGACTTATTACAATCTTATTAAAAAAAAAAAATTTAACACAAGAGTTTTTATTCTTTTATTCTTTTAGATTTACATTTGTAATAAGTTATTCAACCTCCATTGAAAATCAGGTTTGTTAAGATTTACAGAAACCACTTATAGCATTTGATGTGCTGAGCTATTTCAATTGCTTTTGTTTGATTTGTTCAATGCAAACAGCTGAAAGTCTGTAAATTTTGGACAGTTGGTGCTTTGGTCCGCTGGTCTAATTTAAAATTCCCTTTAGAGTATTCCTCATGTACTGACTCATATGCAAATCAATCTTGGAGGCTATGATGCTTGACATGACCTTCCATGTTGTGGACAGACAGGTGATTGGTCGTTGGTTATATGGTGTTACAATGAGAGGGTTCATCATGACCAGTATTGTCCTGCCTTGTGTTAGTCAGTGCTAGTAGGTGTTTAGGCAGTGTTGTTAATTTCTTCATCCAGTAGGTTTGGATCATGTTAAGTCATGGGGCTGACCAAATCTTCATTATTTTTTTTGTCTTGTATGTATGTTTAGAAGTATTTTTATACTTACATTGTCCCATTTTTTTATTAGTATTTAGTGATTTATAGGTTCAGCCCAGATCTGGAGAACATGTATACCAGTGATTACCAAACCAGTCCTCACGGCCCACCAACAATCCATGATTTATGTATTTCCCTTATCTACGCCAATGGAGATGCTAAGAAAACCTGGACTGTTACTGGGTCGTGAGGACTAATTTGGGAAACACTGATGATGCGATAACTAAAATGGTAAAGTTATCAATCAGGAATGCACCATAAAACCCCACTAGAGAAAATTTGACAGACACCAGTCACACTGTTAGAATGCAGTGCAGTCTTGATCACATACAGCATTTCATCACACTGATATGCTCCATTATGGATGCAGGCAATATTTACAAGAGTGATGCACACCCACACTGATTTCTCCAGGGAATAAAAGAGAAAACAGCAAGGTATGAAATCTAGAAGCATAAATACTGTATAAATGCACCTCTAATGCCTTTCACTTCACAGCTGGAAACTTATAAGACAGCTCACCCTGGGATAGGCACATTAAAATATCTGCATTTAAATTCTAAACTTCAAACAGAAGAATACACACACAAATGGGTCATAATACTACAACCCAATCACTCAGGGAATTAATCACATCCTTCACTATACTAATAACAAATGTTAGGATAAGAGCAAAAAAATGGCATACATACATTAGATGTGACCAAATTGATACAAATGGACAAATACATAGCTTATAGGGTATTTGTAAGGACACTGAAGGTATTACTAGCAGTACAGTTTACTAAAAATGGCAACAGAGTGTAAAAATATCTGCATTTGAGCAGAATACCCACACGCATTAAATACAATTAAATCATATTTAAAACCGAAGTATTTAAAAACTGCTATAGCGGGGCAGGGCCTGGCGGCTATGCCAGTATGCTGCAAATGACTAGGGCTCCCGAGGAAACGACAAAATTAGGGTATATAACCACCGTACCCGGCTTGTACTGACCCGGGGGTCCATGGCATGAGGCTCTGGAGTGTCCCGGTGTAGCTGAAGCGCCTGATGCCGGGTGGCTCTTGGTCCTGGTGAGAGATTCTGGGGCTCGGGGATTGAAGCCTACCCGTGAGGGGAATGGGGCGGACGGCCACTGCCTCGCTCTCCGGTGTCATTGGCCT